CCCCAAAACCCCAAAACCCCAAAACCCCAAAACCCCTTGTATTCCACTCGTATTGAAAGAAAACATAAATAGTATTACAAGATTATGAGCTTGTTATTGGCCTTTGTTTTATTAGATAATCCTCTAAGGCTTCTATCCAGTTGACCAAATGCTTTGGAAGGCCATTCATAGCCATTTCTAGCTGATTCTGGTCAAGATCTGTATCAACTTGGTTGAAAATAGTAAGATCTCTGACTCTTTCGGTTGATTTGTCATAGGTAATCCTCTGGATGTTAAGAAGAGTCTTCCCAGTTTCATAGTTATCTTCATTATCGGAATAATCCCTTTGTTTTTCAAATTCTTCGTTTCAATATGTTTTATAGTCATTCTCATCAATATTTTGAGTAAAAATGTACATACATGCTGGGCTCTATAAGATAAGCAAATTGGCTTACATTGTCTTGCTTATTGTCTATTTCAAATCAAATTCTTTGGTCAAAGAATTGCTTTGGCTTAAGATCAGGTATTATTAAATCCTTGTATTTTTCTTTAAGCTTTTGAAGTTGAGGCCTAATATCCTTTAATTTAGTATTAATCAACATAACTTCTGAATCAGTTAAGCGACGCTCTCGATTACTTTGGATTTTAGAATCCCAATCTTTCCTGAATTTTCCCATTGCCTCCCTAAGAGTTCCAAGATTAATATTAATGCCAGGCCTCCAACATACTTTAGATATAGGGAGATCATTTTTATCAATATTTCTACAAGGAGTTATACTGACTTCAATGTTAAGTTTGCCTGTGTCATATCTCTCCCAATTTTCTCTTCCTTCATTAGATTCATCTTTTAAAGTATGGAACATCTCTACAACAACTTCATTTCTAATAAAAGCCTCTAGAGGATTCAGAAAGGTTCTTTTCTCCATTTCTTTAGGTTCACCATAGTCTGGTTCACTAAAATCAGATATTATATTTGCTTTTGATCTTTCACTATAAGATCTTGATATATCAATGCTATATTCAGCCTGTGCTTTGTTCTCTAAAGGGCTTGAGCCAAAGGGTTGTTGCATCCCGCCTTTGTCGTGACAGCCTGATCTCTGTCTTTTCATTCCTCTCTCTGGCTCCCCTGGACTATTTTTAATGATGTCTTCAGATGGAAACGAAGAGTTCATACTGCTCTTTAGATTTTTATCAATCTTAAGTTTGGCTTTTTGTTTTCCTAGAGAGAGGTGAGTGAAAGAATAAGGGTCATCAGAGGTGAAACTTAAGAGGTTGGAAGAGAGAGCTAGGAGAAATGAGAGTAAAGAAGATTTGAGAAAGGAATGGCAGAATTGGGAATTGGAGTAGATTGAGAGGTTTCCATTGATTAGAAGGATTAAGAAAGGTTATGTTTTTAGGTGTTTCTAGTGCAAGAAGTTAGGTATTAATATAGTTGATGCTGATTAAGAGTTTATATTATGCTGAGCTTACTTCTTGTATTTCCTTTTGAGCTCGAAAATCACTGCCCCATCTTTTTATTATTTAATATCCTTTTATTCAATATTATTATTCAATCTGGGGTTTTGGGGTTTTGGGGTTTTGGGGTTTTGGGG